AGCTTCATCTGTATGGCAGCCTGGAGATTAGCAGCCAGAATGAAACCTACCATCTAATGACATGGAAAAGGAAAATTGGAAATGGTCTAGGGTAGGCCATGATTTCTTTGATCAGCTACCCATTCCCGGTATGCCTGCCTTCAGACTTCTTTTTGTCTGAAACTAACAGACCTTTTTTTTTTTTTGTCCCCTTTGTGTTTTTTTGAGACAGTGCCTAGCTATGTAGCCCAGGCTGGCCTCAAACTCGCTGTGATCCTCCTGCCTCAGCCTCCCAAGTGCTGGGATTACAGGCATGTGTCACCACATCCAGCTACAAACCTCTCATTTCAAGCCATTGCTTAGGTTTTTCTGAAGCTTGAAACAAAGCACATTCCCAACTAACATACTGAGGTAAGAAGAGGTAGTTCAAACTCAGTTCTGCTGACTTCAAGCCTTAGACTCAGAAGGTAAACAATGCCATCCGAATAAATACAAAAGCTAATTGGAAGGTTTTGTTTTGCTGGAGATTTTTTTTTTTGGTAGTACTGGGAACTGAACCCAGGACCTTTAGCTACACCTCCAGCACATTTTTTATTTTTATCTTGAGACAAGGTCTTGCAAAGTCACTAAGTTGCCCAGGCTGGGGTTCAACTTGCTATCCTTCTGCCTCAGCCTCCCAGAATACTGGGATTACTGGTGTATGCCACCACATCCAAATGAAAAAAGGTTTTGATGCATGCATGGTCAAGTGTCTAGCACACAGGGGTAAATTCTGGCTATGCAAGAAAATATGAAAAATTGTGTTCTATCCCCTTACATTGTTGTACAATTTTCTTTCTCAACTCTGAAAGCTAAGTTTTGGTTTCTCCTACCATTTCACCTAAACTATCCTTGTCAAAGCTCTCAATTACTCCCTTTGTCACAAAATCCAGCAAGTACTTTTTTTGATTTTTATCTTAACTTCTCCATAGCTCTTGATATTTGTGGACTACTTCCTTTTTCTTAAAATACCCTTCCTTCTAGGATTTTGCATTCTAACTTTTCTCCTCTCCCTACCGACCACTCTTCTCATCAATTTTGTCTTCAGCTAATCATCTTCTGCCTGTCCTCTAAATGAAGGCACTATTTAGGGTATTATCTCAGGTCTCTCTCTCTCTGATAATATCCATTCCCATAGCTTCAGTTACAATTTCTGGGCAATTGAATCCTCAATCTAGATCTTCATTTCAGAACTTTATTCTTAGTACCCTGCCTTCAAATACATCAATTACCACAAATCCAGGTGGAGAACCCACAGCAGGGTCTCACTTGACATGTCAAAATCCGTATACACCACATTCAACTTTTGTATCTGAGGCTCTTTCACTGTTTTCCTAATTCATAAAATAACACTACCAACCACCAGGCCAAAATATAAGTGGTTTCTATCACTGCCTTAGCACAAAACATCTTTATTCCTCTTCTGGCTACTGAACTGCCCTAAATGGTTTTCCAAACCTTTGTGTTCTCTTCCTCTCATTCTCTATGCCTGCTTCTGTGCATTAAATTTTACTATAACACAGCCATGTCTATTCACTTATGAATGTCTATGAATGTTTTTGCTTCACAATGACAGAGCTGAGTAGTGTGATGAGAACCATTTGGCCTTTAACAGAGAAGATCTGTTGGCCTCTGCCTTAAACTGAGACTACAACTAAAAGGCCACAGAGACAAAAATCCACAAAAAAGGCTCAAGAAATCATGATCTGGTTCCTGCCTAGCTTTTCTGCATCATCTCTTATCACATTCTGTTCTGCTTTCTGTGTTTCAACCATACTACACTTCCTTCAGTTTCCTGAAATTAGCTCTTTTTTCTCAGGGATGATGTCCTGAACCCTTCAGAATGCCCTCCCTGTTCCCTCCTTTATTCAGCATACTGCTACCCTTTCTTCAAGTCTTGGTGCAACATCACTTCTTCCTTTTTGGTCTTCCATGAACTCCCCAGAATAAGAGTCCATTGGACCACAGAGCCCGCTGCTTAACTCACAATCATCCAGACAACCTGTAATTACATAATGTGTGTTCTCCACTAGAGTAAAAGCAGACACTTCCTGTCTTGCTCAGCGTGGTGTCCCCAGCAGTGGCCTAGCATCTGGCACACTATAAACATTTAATACTCTTTGCTCTCCTTCCTCTAATGAACTCTGTGGCGTCTGACACTGTCCACATCTCTAAATCCCCACCACAATTTCCAGAGTCAGGTCCACTATCATCTTGTATTCGGACTCTTAACAGACACCCAGCTGGTCTCTCCACTCTGGATTTTTCTCTGCAGTGCAGCCAGACTGACTTTTCTAAAATGGAACTCTGATCCTGTCACTCTGTCTAAAGGCGAAAGCTGGCTTTCCATTGCTCTCTCTTAAAAAAAAAAAAAAAAAGGTATGATGACCAGCAACACTTTTTCGTAGCTTAGACTTTACTTATCTCTCAAAACCACCCATGCTTAGAGTCAGAATGATTTCCTTTTAGGTCTCTAACTACAAGTGCTCTCCCAATTCTGTATCTTAGCAAATAATTTTCCGTATGTCTGCCTGACAACTACTCCTCACACCTCTCCTTTCACGCAGTAACTTCTATCTAGTATTTAGGGGTTATCTTAGATATCTTTTCTCCCTTATCTTAGATATCTCTTCACATGTCCCAAGTCTTGTTTAAAGGACATTTTTATAACATTTTCTATCCTACTCCCCTGCCCCCAAACATACACATGGTTTGTAGAATTAATCACATATAAAGCTATGTAAGAGGGGACTGACTTTTCTCCTCTATTTCCAATATTTACCACAGTACACAGCACACAGGAGTTCAATATGTATTTTCTAATCAAAACAATTTGTATCCTTCAAAACTAAAGCAACTTTTCATAATTTCAAAAGAAAATTGAAAGTTCCCATTAAATCTACTCATAAAACCTGTGACTTCCAATTCTGTATCCCTCAATACAAATTCAACATGGACTGCATAACTCATGTAGAGCAGCACACCTAATTCTCTTATTAACTAGTATGCATTCTTATATACTGCATATCACCAAATGATGAATTAATTTAGTGGCCTAATTTCTATCCTTCAGGTCCTAGACTGGATCTCAGGGGCTGTACAAAGTCATCCTACCTTTCTAACTGGCTCCACTAAATGACTATGGCTTTTAACCCCACTGGGCTCTGAATATGGCTTCTTTAATGCTTTTCCTTATTTCTGGCCTATTCTCTATCCTAGTATGTGTCTACACTTTTACTACTTTCTCCAGCTCCTGAGTTATCCCAGGCCTGCTCACTCTCAATACATAATCCTGCTCCTATATCACCAAGAGGGAATCAGATATGAATTCTATTTTGCTCTAGAATTTCTTTTCTCTTATATAAGGGGTGAACAGTTACAGTGAATTTGTTAAAATTTCTTAAAAATTGTATTACAGTAAAAGACACATTGCCAAGAATGATGAGATAACTGTGCTTGAAATGACAGAGTATTTTGACTATTCTGAGAAAGACTAATGGGAATGTATCTTTAACTATATTACATTTTAAAATTTAAACATTCACTGTATTTTTTATTACACCATGTTATCAAACATTTATCACAATACAAACATGTGTGCCCTCATCTAACTTATTCATCAGATCTGGCACCGTTGTAACTTCTGGGTCTTTTCCAAAGCCAAAATGACCATGAAAGGTAAATGTTTTTAACTGATTCAGGAGACTGAGGTAGCCATAACTGAAAAACGAAAGACACTCATGAAAGTGGACTTCCTGAGCTACTTCAGAAAGTGCCAAGAACTATGGGATAAGCCTTCAAAGAGAGGAGTATTTTGAGGGGAACTGGTGGCCATGACTTTACATGTAATTAAAAAAATATATATTCATATATATATTTCCTTGACCTCTAGATGAAGCCTTTACTAACTGTGCTTTTGACCTACTCCTTCCACTGTGCTCTTGGGACTTCTCTCATCAATTTGGTGTGGTCACATTATATATTAATCCACAGAGAGGCAAATCTATACAAGTCCCATTGTGCCTTATCATTGTGTTGCACCCACTGGAGCACATTCATTCCACTGCTACTTGATTACTATACAGTAAGAAGGCAAATAATAGCTCTTCCATACTTGACGTGCATAGAATTTGAAGTGTCATAAACAGAGAAATAACCACATTGCCTTCATTCTGTCCACTCCAGATCATAAGGCCATAGAGGGAAGGACTACATGCAGTCAATAGGAAAGACTGAGACAGAGTCACAAGCTGGCTGCTGTCTCACAAATACCATGCATATCTACCAGTGAATGGACACCTTGCCCTGGTGATTTGATTCTAGTAGCTAAAACCATGCCTTTTAAAAAAAAAATTTTTCCCAACATGACCTAAAATACAAGTTAACAACAGGAATGTGAGGGTCCGCAATCCAATTTTGGAGATGGTACAGTGTCTGGGGCCACATCTCCTTCCATACTGTTATTACCTTCAAACTTTCAGTGCTTTTGGTCTGCATTTTTTTCTAAGTTCCAGAAATCAATAATGTCAGAATGCACAGAACGAAATGAAAAATCTGAGAATCAAAACAGATTCCCAGTTGATAACTAGCTGGTGAGCTTCAGGATGGAGGGGCAGAGATGAGAACTGTCACTTCAAACAAGACCACAGATTACTCAAATAAACATTTATCATAAAGCACTTTATATTTCAAAGTCTAGCTGGAAACTTTCAGAAATGAGCAGGGGCCACAGCAGTGTTTGGATCTACACACCCAATTCTTTCTTCCTTTACGAAAAACACACATAGCAAAGGCTTCACACTGGTTATGAGACCAAGACAGGACTTGCTCTGCAAATGAAAGGTAAAAGATAAAGCAAACCTTTTATACTTACTCCACCTTAAGGCAACTACTAGTTGTTATTCTTTGATCTTTTAAGCCATGCTCACTCATATATATTATTGTCAACATCTTTGAAAAAAAACCATAAAAGCATTAAACAATTTAAGGACCTTTCACAAACCAAATGACAGTAGGTTTTTATTAACATATCTTACAATGTTGATTATTTCTAGTTTATAATTTCTGTTTAATTATAAAGGTTGATTTAGCTTCTACAGTAATGTACTGTATTTAAATGATCATTCATACAAGATATCACACCAGTACATTTTTTTTGAATAATATACACACATCACCCTAACTTGGACCTGTTATTTTTAAAAGTGGGTTTATAAATGGGACTTACAAAAGTTATGGGGAAAAATTAAAGTTCTAGTTTAGCAGCATGCATGTATTTATTCAAGTACAATTTTCAACCAAATGCTTTTTTAGAATTTACCGGTGACTAATTCACCAATATCAAAATAAACACTATCAAATACCCAAATTTTAAAGTTAAGGCTAATATTTTCACTTCACATCCATATGCACAACCATAAAACATTCCATTTTAAATATGTAGTAATCAAAGTCTGAATACATTATACCATGTATATATAGCATCAGAATTTCAAACTGTAGAATTATTCAAGTTCATGAATCCTATAACAGTGTTTACTAGAGATGTAAATTACCATTTTGCTCTTCAACCACACTTACAAAATGGTCTGGTATTCATAATGAGCAATGCAAAAAATATGACAGGCTGAACTTATGATACAATATTTTAAAAAGTAGCAATGTGTTTGAAAGGACAGTGATTTAGCCAAACAGAATCAGTCTAGTTTTACAGAAAGTTATCTTAATATTTTGGAAATGTATACAAAAATAGCAAGCTATTTCCATGTATTTTCTTATAGAGAATACCCAATTTTTTTGGTGTTCTGAACACATCTGAATGTGTACTGCTCTGTTTTCCCTATTTTAATGCAAACCCATCATTTAATGTTCATTTTCATATTTTATGTCATGTCATTCAAGAAATTTTGGAATATGGATCTAATATTATTTTTATATTTTATCAATAGATGTTTCTTATTCTTACATGTAAAACTGTAGTTTCATATAACAAGCCATGGAAGTCCAAACTACCAGGAATTGATTGATAACACTATGTATGAAATAATTATCAAATTACTGAATCATTTGAGGAAAATAATCTTGGTAGCAATATATAACATGCTTTTCTATAATCTTTCTTCCCTAATTCTAGAGTGGGTTAGAGCTCAATGATTCCTGTTCTTACTGATTTAAAAACCCAACAAACATAAAATTACTTTTCCTGGCAGTTTCTAAAAAGAATTCAGATGCATGGCTCATTCATGAGGGTCATCATTACTTTTTCTTTTTAGGAAACCAACCAGAAACAACAATGATTACACTGCATGAATACAATATAGCTGAACTTCTTGAGTTGACAGGAAAGTTCTAAAATTTATGGTTCATTTGTTGGGAAGTATGAGCATTTCCAATCCAATCATATAAACAAAAACTTTGTTAGTAATAAAAGGTGGGCATGCACAGACTCAAAATCTGCCATGTGTATGTTCTAAAACTTTTTGATTTTTATAGTAAAAATCTACTTGATACTAGCTCTAGTAATTCACCTAAATGAAATGGCAAGTTTTAATAATTTTGATTTTTTTTTCCTTTTTTTTTTTTTTTGGTTAAGATCAAACCCAGCACCTTGTGCATGCTAGGCAAACACTCTCCCACTGGGCTACATCTGCAGCTCCAAAATTTTGACTTTTAAGTATTCCCAACCACACATATGCCCCACAAAATGTACTGTATTATATTAACAGCAGCTATCTACTTATTTTACAGCTATTTCAATTATTTACCTGGGGAGAATATTTATGAAATTCCTGAGAATGAAGTTTTCAGCAAAGCCTTAAACTTTTAACAGATCCTCACAATAAGAAAAAATTTTAAAGTTCTATTAGACTAACTTTTACTATACAATATTTCACATAAATTGTGTTTTACATTTTTTCTAATTACATACAGCAAAAATCTCAAATCAACACAAGAAAGGCACAGAAAAAAAGATGCATTATGTTTAGCAGATGCAAATTAAAACAGAAAGCAGCAGCACAACTTCAAAAAAAAATCACACCCACTCTAAGTGTCAATAAATAGCTGATATGCATTGTTGGGAGAATCATTTTCTGAATGATTGTGTGGACAAATTGTGCTTTTTATTAATTGTGCACTTAAAAAAATGACCACTAAAGAATGATTCAACTTATCTGTTATGCTTCCCAGATATTTTAAAAACAATTATTATATCATTAACGTGATTACCAAGCACCTAATTTTGAAAAGGCTTCATAATGTTTTTTTTTCCTTCAGCAAAAGCGTTAATCCCCTAAATTAAGTTAAAGCTTATTGTTGATAAAATCAATTCTTAATGAAAATGATGATACAATGAAATGCTGAGGTGGTAAGTCACAGTCCATTATAATGTGGACCCCATCTTTTATTGATGTGATCAAAAGTATGAGAAATCCACTGCTGTTCAAGAACTTTGTATCTTTCCTTACAAATGTAGAGAGGCTTGCCTCGCCTAGAATAAAAAGAGAAAAAAAATTAAAGGTAATATAATACAATGAATATTTCACATGCATTTCTTTTTTAAACACATCTTTCGTGGCAGAAATAGCAGTAAATTGATTTATTTCATGTTTCCTCAACATGTTGATGGGTTAAATATCTCAAAAACTGGAAATTATTCAAAATTAATGATCATCATAACTTATTACTTTTTTAAAAATCATAATTATAAAGCCAGAAATGGCACACTGGTTTTTATTGACCAAACTTCAATAGTACCCCTGGATGAATCTTCGCAGATCCTACCTAAGATCCCGGTCTTCTTCTCCATGAGCATCCAAGTACACAGAACCCCAGAGGCAGAAGCGGTGACCTCGAATAATGATAATCACTGATGCATTGATCAAAAGGAAAATCCCTGTTCCAGCACCACAGTTCTGAGAATGCTAAAAAATTTAAAATATATCAATTTATTTTATAATCAAATGGGCTCTATGACAAAATCAAGAACACATTAAATGCCTCCTAAATAAGAGGTATTTAACATTTTTAAATAAGATTTCATCTATGTTAAATTTACAAGCCTTTATTATTAATACATTAGGAAAAATTTGGAGAAGTATTATCTAGAAGAGCAATTAAGAGCAAGGCTAATTCAACAACTAGCATCTCCAAGAGCACAGGTGACTTTTGTCTTACAACACATTTAAAAGTATGTACCATTAAAATTAAGAGAAAGGAGAAGAACTGGAATTGCATTTAAGAAAGGTTTTACTCACTAAAATACAACCTCGAGTTAAAAAAAATTTTTTTCTTCTACTGGATTAAAAAAAAAACCCACACACAATCTCTACATACAGTACTGGTATGTTTAATTCAAACATTAGTTAAATGTGAAGCTCTGATTTGACAACATATATCAACTTTCCATGAGATCTGAGTTTTCATAAATTTTGCAGTATTTACTCTTGCTTACCAATACACATTCACAGTAACTCTGTTGCTTGCAGCAGAGTCCTTTCAGGCACACAAAAGTACCACAAACAAGGCAAACAGCAGGGTCTTTAGGAACCTTCGTGCAGACGCTACAGGTTTTTCTGTGGTAGTACTGAAAAATGGTATTGTAGTTCTCAGGCAACTGTAATAGGTGTGGTAACTTCCATCTCGACTCTTGGATAAGCAAGGCCTAAAACATCCAAAAATATTCATTAGTGGGCCAGGGATTTGGCTCAGCAGCACCATGACTGCCCAACAAGTACAAGGTCCTAAGTTCAATCCCAGGTAACCCAGGGGGAAACAAAAAAAGAACAAAAATAGTCATTAGTCCAATGTTTTAAAGACACTAACACAAAATATTTATTTTTAGAAAGGATTTTTCTTTTCTTTTTGAGGCAGGATCCTAAATCCCAGAAAATCTGCCTCCAAGAATATGACTTACTTTTTTTAACATGCCTCTTACCCATTTTATACATAAAAAAACAGGACTTCAACAATTACCATTCTCTATTTTCATGTAATTTCAATTACAAGAGATGTAGTATTTTAAACACCTTATATAAACCTGTTATTACTTTAAAAGAAAAACATTAATATTTCTAAACATGCATGGAAACATATCTGGTATAACTGTCTTTAAATAGGCCTAATCCAAAAGCTTTAAACAGTTGTACATTTTTAAAAAATCACGTTTTGACCTTTCTCAGATAAACAATTCATTAGCCTTTTCCTTAGGAGAAAGTCATAGTTATAACTCATTATTTCTATTTTAATATTTTAGAGTTTCCTTTTTGGAAAGTAAAATTCATTACACCTTAAGCTGTTCATATCGCTTCTATCCACAAGTGCTGGGGACTATTTTTTAAGTAAATTTACTGCTTTAAGTATGGAAAAAAAAGCCAAATTAGCTACATTTCCATGCAATGTACTTTATTTACCACTTGTACTGTAAGTAGTTGTATAAAAATACTGGAAATAGCATCAAATTATTTATATGTTACTATACACCTAAAATAGATGAAATGCAATGTGAATCACTATCTTAGAAACTATGAGTAACAGGTAGTTTGTAAAACCTCATCTCACCTCAACTGTACCAATCATCTCAGTTCAAATCATGAGCAAATAAGCAGGAAGCTTGTTGTTTGCTACTAAGTTCATGGATAAGGTAGCCATAAAAGCAAAGGTAAGGGCAATATGTGGGCTTATAATGTGCCACTTTCCAGGATTCCATGTTTACTCCTGGACCCCAGAGATGACATTCTGTTTTAGATTCTATGAGAGGACCTATTCTGTAACAGGTCGATTACACTGGAACTCTTCTGTAGGTGGAAGGGACAGCAATTAGCCCCCACTGAACTTGACACCTATTACGGATTAGTTCTGTATTACCTCATGGTCTCTACCACAGTCTACTTAAAAGAGTTTCCTTTTAAAAATGTGACATAAAGCAGCAGATGCTTGTCCACAGAATTCACTGATCACAACATATACTCAATCATCTGAAAAATTACTAGTCTTGTAAATGATGAATTATTGAACTGATGAACTTTTAGATGGCACCGGCTGGGGAAAGAACACCTACAGAATGAGGTATGTGCTTCTATATAATGTGGCATATACTCCAAGCAGCCAGCATATTTGGGTGATCTTTCTTGAGGTTGAAATGTATAGGCAAAGGAGCCAGGATGTGGAAAATGACTGTGTCACCTCTCATGGTTACATCGAAAAACTCAGTTTGAAATTTGTTTTACTGCTATACTGGACTCTTCTGTAGCTTTAGTAACTAAAAAAGCTGTGTACTATCCTCTATGAGGGTATATAATTATAATTCCACTGAATTAGAATCTAAATGTCATTTGACCATTATAACTTCCTCATACTAGTAGGAGAACAAATGGGGATATCTTACAGCATGATCTGGAGGGACTGATACTTCTACTAAGAATAGAAACATTACCATATAAATGGTAGCAGTATTTTGGAACTTAGGAACTCCCAATTCCCATTCCTGCCACATACCAAGCTTGAAAAATAAAATACTTTTGCAAAATTATTATAACTTTATATACGCAAGATAGGACCAAAAACAAGCAGCTCAGCTCTCTCAGAACAAAGTTAGGGTCATATCCTTCATCAAACAAATCCAATCATTTGAGGTGCTGGACAAAAAAGATGAAAGAAGAAAATCATATATAGTTACAAATTCTCTTATTTACTGGGCCACATATTTTTACATTTTCATTCTCTCTTCCTTTCTCTTACTACTGAATTTAGGATGACAAGGTACTAACTAAAAGTTTCCGCAACATCTAGGTAAAACAAATCAGAGGAGGAACAGACATCTAGATGCAGGGAGACCCAGTGTGTGAATACTGAGTGTTACTGCAGGCTGCTTATTTTGGAAAGTCATTAATGCATTTGAATTTGTAAATGGCATGGTCACATCATTTTGGACAGTGAAGAAGTGGAACTCTCTGAAGAAGGATGTATTGTGCTGAGCAGGTAACAATGTAATGGGTCACCAATCTGTTGATTTTTAAAGTCTGCCTACCATCTTCTACTTGTATATTAACAGCATTATAAGTTCTTTTTTTTTTTTTTGGTACCAGGGATCGAACTCGGGTCCTTCCACTTGCGAGGCAGGCAGCGGAACCACTGAGCTAAATCCCCAGCCCTAGTTCTTTTAGAAAATAACCACCTTGCCTGCTCCATACAGTTCTTTCTTTTTTTCCTTAAATTCTTTTATTGGTACATCCATACAGTTCTGATGGGGCTGCTCTCAAGACAAAATCCTGCCCAACCCCATAGGGGTGTCCATGATTCAAATTAGGCCCATCAGGTTTTCTCTCCCAGGAATCTGAGTATTGGGCACACACATGGAAGAAAGGAAAGTTGCTGAGGCATAATCATCCAGTTACAGCACTTCCAAGAAAATAAGCTAGAGATCTCTGTGGTTTCTCTTTTTCCCAACGGATGGTAGTTCAGCTCCTCTTCAACTCTACAAGTTACCCAGTATCCGCCCAATGAATCCTTTTTCTGTCTTTTTTTCACTTTTGTTTTGTTTTCCTTACATTAAACCAGAACTAGATTTTGTTGTATCCAACTAAACAATCCTGATAGAAAAATTCATAAGCATTAATTCACAGCTATCCATCAAGGGTACTTTGGATTATTCAGCTTGTATCACCATATATCTCTATTCGAAATTTAAATTCCTGGCAAAGAGAATCTGGTTGGCCTAGGGTCAGGGTCAGGGTCAGGAACAGAACAGAGTAAAGGACAGGGATGGGAATGCGTGGGGGGGGGGCGCTTAAATAACTGGCAAATGTTCTACCTTGGCAAATATAAATGTCTACTACTCAAGACTCTATGACAAATACCTGTCATTCAATTCTACAAAAAGATCAAGTATTTTTCAATGATAAATTCTAATTTTTCATCAATATCCACACTAATGATCATTCTCTTAAAATGTAGTCTTATTCTTGATTTATCACTCATATGAAGAGAAAAAACTTTGAATGTGTTTCTCACTTTTTCTCTTGCCATGGTTCCACAGTTATACCCATTTCTTTTTTTTTTTTTTTTTTGGCACCAGGGATCGAACTCAGGACCTTGCACTTGCGAGGCAGGCCGAGGCACCACTGAGCTAAATCTCTGGCCCAATATCCATCTCTTATACCAAATCATTCCTTCCAGGTTTAAAGACATAAAAATATACCTCCAAATTCTAGATGTAACCTATGAATAAAGAAGTTACTAGATAGGAAAAAGATCTTTATACATAATAACAAGGTTTAATTAACTTCTTGAATTTCCTTTTCTTGGTGGGGGGGTGTGGTGGTTACTGAATGTGTCGTGTATGCTAAGTGCATGCTTAACCACTGAGCCACAACACCTATGGATCCTTTCCTTTCCTTTTTAAAAAAAAAAAAGTATAAAATAAGATGGCATCTCTTCAAAGATTTCAGGTTTTTTTTTTAAAGACGAAAAACAAAGCAGAGACATTTATTACTTATACCTATCTTTCCTTTATTACTCATTTTAATGTTTTAAAAGTTGTCTAACACCTCTATGTGAAATACCGATTTTTTAACTGTTTCTTTGATGCTCAAAATTAAATTTCTCATTTTCCCTGAAGCTTAGCTCGCCTTTCATCAGTTCTATTTCTGCCAATGATATCCCACCACATAACTGTTCCACAAGTATTTATTAGATGACTAGTTTCTACCAGGCACTTTCTAGGAATCAGGGATCCAAGAACAAATAGGAAACAATTTCAGGGATGGGGATGGGATATAGCTCAGTGGGAGAGTGCTTCAATGCCCAGTACCAGAAGATAAAATCTGCTCTGTGAAGCTACATTTAGACAGATTAAAAAACAATGTGATAAAGAGAGGATGGGGGTGTAACTCAGTGCTTAGAATGTGTGAGGCTGTGTGTTTAACTTCAGGAAGAAAGGGAGGGGACAGGAGGCAGATGAAAAGAAAAATGTATGACAAATATGGTAAGTGTTAGAGAAAGTGACAAAAGTACTGTTGAGATTAGAACTGCACAGGAGTTTAGACTATCTGACCAATCTTCATAGCAGAGTTAACAGCCTCAAAAAGTGATTAACATAACAGAAGAGTAGGAAGGTTGGTTTAGATAAAAGTGACAGCAACTGAATGCTATAGAAGTTTAAAATGTATAACACACTTAGGAAACATTCTTTTGTGATTTGGGCAAGACAACAGCAGAGGAATGGTACAAAATGAGGATGGAAGGGCAAGACGGTGAAGGTTCTTGACTGTCACACAAGGAGTCATCATCTTCCCTAATAAGTAATGGAGCACCATCAAGATGTTTAAGGAGGTGGCATGTTCCTATCAGAACTACAACAGAGTAATCACTGTTCTGCTAATAATGTGAGTTCAAGATCTTATAGTCATGAGCTTCTGGTCACCAAAACCTATATATTTTTGTGTATTAGTTACTTTCAACTTTTACTGTCAGAAAATAGTCCAGACTTTCTTTACCACATAAACAATCTCTGGCTTCTATCTTTATTAAAAAGCCATCAAAATTATCTCCCTAAAATACTATTTTTATCATATCCCATTTCTCAAAAGCTGTAGTTCTACCTGTAGAAGGAATTCCGTGTGCCAAACCAAGGTATTCACAGCCACCCACTACTGCCCCACTCTATTCTCAGTTCATTCATCTCCAATACAAACCTTTTCACCAGCGGAGCTTGCAACACAGGCCCAGCACCTTTTAAAGTTAAAGACGTGATCTTTTAGATTTGCTAGCCCAAATCTCTTTTTTTTTAATGTGAGACAATTCTCTTTCAAATAAAAATACAAGTTCCTTGGTTACATTAAAGTTCTTTTGTATCTTCCAAGGCTAGTGCATGATTATTTAAGGAATTCAATAAAAATATGTTGACCCAAAGCAAACTAAAAGAATACCTTATATTTGTTAACTATTTCTGCTTTATACTCATAAATAATTTTTATACAAGCAAATCATTTTTTAAACTGAATCAGTTTAATAAACGCTACCAAGAACAAATAACATAAAATTTAAAATTCTTCATTGTATTCTTACCTATTAGGATATCACCATGGTGGCAAATGAATACTATTCTTTCCAACATACCTTTCCTTGATCTGCATGTCTTTCAGTAAATGATTTTATCTCAAAACACCACTGAGTTATAATATCAAATGCTGGAACTGGCCAATCCAGACAGGAGGCACTGATGAATGGATGTTCTGTTTGATAAAATGTTGGCAGAAGTCCCAGGCAGCTGGCAAGAACTGAAAATTCTTCTTCTTCCTTTTAGACAGGAAATAGAAAACTCTCGTGATACTTCATCAAGAACATTTTCTACTATAGATATTTTAAGCATCATCCTCAATTACTTTAGGGCAGTAGAAAGTTTTACCTGGTCAACTGAAATAAAATAAAGGAAATAATAAGATTGAAAGAGAGAAAAGGGTTCCTAGCTGAAATGTCCAACTATAACCAAAAATTTTTTTTTGAAATTTAACTCCTCTGTGTCATAGGATCTGCTTTTCTACATTTATTTTTTAATTTAATTTAATTTTTTGGTACTGGGGATTGAACTCAGTACCTTGCACTTTGCGGGGCAGGTGTAGCACCACTGAGCTAAATCCCTGACCACTTCTACATTTATTTTTAAAACAGAGTTGTCACATATTTGATCACTAGTCCTTAAAAGCCAGCTATTCTATGAAAACAAAGTTAATCTTGGGTAAAGATAAAACTATTTTTGTTTAAAAAGGCATAGATTGTGGATAAAGACCAGTAATAAAAACGTAGAATTCACAAGAGGTAGTGCTAAATAATGTCCCTGGACTCTTTACTGAGTAAACAAAGTAAGTTTTTAAAAAGGGATAGAGTTCTTTTTTAAAAAAACTGAGATCTCTCAAAGCCAGGCAATCTGAAGCTCCACTCACTAAAAAACAAAAGCAAAAACAAAAAACCAGAGAAATCAGTGATCTAAGGACTTTTACCCTGAAAGCTGATTTTTAAAGAAGTCTGTTACCTCAATTCACCAATCAAAAGAAATAGACTGGCAGAATGGATTTAGAAGCAAAATCCATGCCAGGGATTTAGCTCAGTGGTGCCACTGCCTGCCTGGCAAGCACAAAGTCCTGAGTTCGATCCCTGGTACAAAAAAAAAGGAAGCAAAATCCAACAATATGCTATATACAAGAAACACACCTAGTTCAAAGAGAAATTCATAGATTGAAAGTAAAAGGATGGAAAACAGTTCTCCATGTAACAGGAGCCCAGAAAAAAGCAGGGGTAACTATCTTATGTGCAGACAAAGTAAATTTCAAACCAAAACTAATTAAGAGAGACAAAAAAGGTCACTACATCCTTGTAAAGGAAACAATCCAAGAGGAAGAGATAACAATCATAAATATATATGCGCCAAATACTAATGCCTCAACTATACAAAACAAATACTAATGGACATGAAAAACCAAATAACCACTAATACAATTATAGTAGGGGATCTCAATACCCACTGTCACAAATAGACAGATTATCTAGACAAAAGATCAACAACGAAATACTAGAATTGAACCAGGCTTTTGAACAAATGGACTTAATAGATGTTTACAGAGTGTTCCACCCACAAAATTAGAATATACATTCTTTTTGGCTGCACGTGGGTCATTCTCCAAAACAGACCACATGCTAGCTCACAGAATATGTTTAAGTAAATTCAAAGGAATTGAAGTTATCCCCTGTATATTATCAGACCGTAGTGCAATTAAACTGGAGATTAGTAGCATAAGAAACCACAAAACCCCCCCAAACACATGGAAATTGAATAACATTCTCCTGAACAACCAATGGGTCACAAAAGAAATTAAAGAAGAAATTAGACAGGTTCTACAATTAAATGGTAATGCCAATACAACATAAAGGAATCTATGGGACACAATGAAAGCAGTTCTACCAGAGAAATTCATAGCAGTAAATGCTCATACTAGGAAAACAGAGAGAGCTCAAATAAACAACCTAATGCTGAACCTTAAGCTCCTAGAAAAAGGCAAGCAGGACAAACCCAAAGCTCACACAAGGAAGGAAATTATAAAGATCAGGGCAGAAATCAATGTAATGGAGACTAAGAGAATGATACAAAATATCAATGAATTGAAGACTTTGTTTTTCAAAAGAATAAATTTGATAAACTTTTAGCCAACCTTATCAAAAAAAGGAAAGAAAAGGCTCAAATCCATGCAATTAAGAACGAAAAAGGTGAAGCCACACCAGATCCAGCAAAAATCCAGAGGATCATCAATACCTACTTCGAGAACCTGTACTCTAATAAAATGGAAAACACAGAAAAAAACCAGATTCCTAGATATATATGAATTACCAAAGTTGAATGAAGAAGATATAAAAATTCTAAACACCCCAATTACAATCAGTGAAACTGAAAATGTAATTAAAAATTTACCAACAAAGAAAAGCCAAGGTCCTGATGTCTTCACTGCTAAATTCTACAAGACATTTAGAGAAAAACTATTGCACTACTCTTTAAACTCCTCAATGAAACTGAAAGGGAACCAATACTTGCAAATTTTTTCCTGGAAGCAAGTGTTACTTTGATTCCAAAAGCAGAGAAAGACCCAAGCCAAAAAGAGTACAGGCCAATCTCCCTAATGAACATAGATGCAAAAATTCTCAACAAGATACTGGCAAACAGAATACAGAGGGTCATCAAGAAGATTATACACCCTGACCAAGTGGGATTCATTCCAGGGATGCAGGGATGGTTCAACATAGGCAAATCAATCAATGTAATACACTACATCAATTGAGCCAAGAAAAAAAATAACTATGTCAGATGATACATGTTAGCTTGTTTGTAATTATTTTACAATATATACATATATCAAAATATCCCATAAATAATGTACAGTTTTTGTCAATTTTACCTCTATAAAGCTGGGGGGATCCATTTAGCCATGGGATATTACCCTATTACTAATATTATATTAAAGCTTTTTGCTTTTGTGTTCACGGGGATATGTAGTTTTCTTGTGATGCTTGGTTTACTTATAAGGATAAAACTGGCCTCACAAAATGAGATCAGAAGAGTTCCTTCTTCCTTGACTTTATGAAAGAGTTTGTACAGCATTGGTAAGATTTCTTTCCTAAATGTTTCACAGAATTCATCATGTTATCTTTGTTGATATAAAGTTGCTGACTTTTTTTCTGAAAGGATAATAATTACATAAGTTGAATAATTATATCAGTTTTCTTACTCAATATAGATGTATTCAGGCTATTTTTTCTTGAGTTTTTATAATTTCTATCTTTCAAGAAATTTGCCTATTTCATCTAAATTATTAAATGCTATTCACAGTATTCTCTTCTTATATGGATGTCTTTTCCTTTACTACTAATATTGGTAATTTGTGCTTTCTTTTTTTTCTCCCTACCAACCTAGTGAATTTAGTTCCTAATTAAAAGCCAGTGTGTGGTTTTACAGGCCTAACCACAGGTAATTACAAAGACTTTTCCTGACAGGACTCATGGTGGGAAACTGCCCTCCTGGCACCAAATATTGTGCACAGCTAAAGCATTACAGTCTCTGAAGGGAACTGGAGGTGAGGTCTCAGGCCACCTTGATAGGTTATACTCTTTCACATATATATACATTCCTAGCCCCAGCACCTTTTGCCTTAATTCTTTATCTGAGGCCTTGGACAGAAGTCTCTTCAGGAATCTCTGCTGAGAACGGCTTAGGGGAGGGGAAAGTGGGAGAAACTTTTGGAGACTCTCTCCCCCACTCTGACACAGCACCCTTGAATCTGTCCTCCCCTTGACCGCACCCACAACCAGGCATAAGACTGCCAGAGCCTTTCCTTCCAGGCTCCCTCAACAGTGAAATGACCTTCATATCTGCACTGATTCACCTCACACTTACCCAGAGCACCATTCCATGGGGGAAGGTACCATTTTCTCCAGCCTCTTGCTTATAGCATTACAGATTAAAGAATTAATTCTTTTGGTTTGCTGCTTTAACTGACTACTCTGACACATGGCAGCTCAACTCGCTCTTGGCTCAGCTAAGCTTCTGCCATCTAGATTTATCTATTGTATTGATCTTTGCAAAGAACCAGATTTTGGATTCATTCTTCTCTATTGTTTCTCTATTACAGCTTCACTGATTTCTCCTCTGGTTTTTATGATTTCCTTTTTTTTTTTTTAACTTGTGAAGGAAACTGGAATATGTCACTCCAAGATATGTCTCTTTTGACATAAATATTTTTGAGCTAAAGAAGCAGCAAACTGAGGAAGGGTTCTTTATATCCTATCTTGCTTCCGCCTAAAGACAGGAGGTAAGTTCTCTTTACTGGAGACAACTCTTAGCAGCTCACATGAAGCACCAGAGGCATCTGCAAATAAACTTTGCTTCATTAGTTTACTCCCTTATATCTACCTTCATACAATTTCCTACTTCTCTAAAAGTCTTAAACTGTTTTCCTTTGTCTTGTCACTTTTTAAAAATTTATTGATCTTTGTTGAGGATATTTTATAAGCCAGAATTTTAAGCCATGGCTTTAGTGAACAGTTCCATGTATACTTATAAAAATATGAATTCTGCTACTATTTGCTGGAGAACTAAATTATATCATTATTAACAGTGTTCAGGTCTCAGTTTTCCTACTTGCTTTTCTGTCTGCTGATTACTGATTGCTAAGAACACTGAAGTCTCCAACTGTAACTGTGGATTTGCTATTTTTTCTTTCAATTCTGTCAATTGCTGGGCATAAGTGGTGTATGCCTTTAATCTCAGCACTCGGGAGGCTGAGGCAGGAGGATTGCTGTGAGTTCGAGGCTAGCCTGGGCTACATACCAAGACCCTGTCTCAAAACAAAACAAAACAAAAAAATTCTATCAACTATTGGTTTGCACAAATATGTTCAAAATAGATCTTCCTGCTATATTGAGAGAGGGCATTTATTTTCAAATATGAGACACAAAAATAACTTGGGAAGGTGAGAATTACTAATAGTAGAAAAACAACATTTTTCTAACTTCTTTATGAAGGGAAATCCAACAACTGATAAAAATTAACAAAGATCTACATAATTTGGGGGCAAATTCATAGGATACTTCAGGATTACTTGGATTTTCACATGAAGCATATGTTGAGTCCAAATGTGGGTCATTAAAATGCGAGAAATCTCACTCAGGAAAAATTGATGAAAGAAGTTTCTCATTTTTCCTTATCATTCAACTTGGACAAAATATTCAATAGTCAGAGATTATTCTAAACAAAG